TTTGCATCCAGGTGATTACGAACGGGTCAAAGAGGCCCTGCTGCACAAGTTCGGGCTGACCCCAGAGATGTACAGGAAGAAGCTCCGGGGGATTCAGAAGGAGCCACGGGAGACCTATGTGGATTTGGCCTCCCGCCTGGCGCAATACTGCCGCAAGTGGGTGTTCAGGGTCGGAGCCCAAGCCGCAGAGGATCCACTTAAGCTGATGATCCTGGAGCAGTTCTCTGAAGCATGCACACTTAGCCTGAGGCTCTGGCTCAAGGACCGGAAGCCAGAGAACCCCCAGGACGCTGGGAGGCTGGCAGATGAGTTCACCAACACCCGGTCTGTGTGTGAACAGGAATTGCGGTGAGAGGGGACCGCACAGAGACCAGTTCTTGGCTGAGTAACGGAGAGAGTCACCTACGAGGTGAGCCCAAGAGACAAGGACGAACCATCTGCGCCCCAGAGAACCAGCCAGGTCCCGGGCAGAGCCGGCCCAAAAGGGCCCGCAGGACCTAACTTGCCATCTCTGTGGGCCACAAGAGGGCTCAGTGCACCAGGCACCAGGACAGGTCCCAGGACCTGGGACTTTTCAGGGTTAACTGGCTGGGGCTGGAGGAAGGGCAGGCTGTCCCAGAGGCAGGGGCTGGCAGGCAAACCTCAATTCAGAGAGGGGGAAAGGATGCTCAGTGCACCTCCCCTGGGAGATCTGACCCTCTGGAGGAGGATTTCTCTGTGTACCAGGTGGGGGCAGGGCGGCCCCTGCGGAGCGAGTGCCTCATACCCCTGGAGGTGGATGGTAGGAAGGTGCCCCTGGAGGAGGATGGCAGGAGGGTGACAGGTTTCTGGGACACTGGGGCGGAGGTGACGCTGGCCCAGACTGAGGTAGTGGCCCCAGACTGTATGGTGCCCAACACTCAGCTGACCCTGAGGGGCATAGATTGGACCCCGTTTAAGGTGCCCACACCTGGGTGCATTGGAAATGGAGGGCCAAGTAAGGCCCCAAGGAAGTGGAGGTGCACCGGCACTTGCCCACGGAGCTGCTGATGGGGGGTGACCTAGAGGAGTGGCCAGACAGACCCCATAGAGCCCTGGTCACCACCCGTAGCCAGAGCCAGTGAGACGCTGGTGACCCTGACCCAGGGGAGGGCTCCCTGCAGAGGGCTCAGGATCTCATCCCAGTCCTGATCCCTGCCCCAGCTGCTGAATTCCAGGTGGAGGTGCAGGCAGACTCCTCCTGGCAGAGGCTGAGGGACCAGGCTGGCCTCGGCACAGCTCAGCCCCTGGGGAGAGGTGACCAGGAGAGATTCCTGTGGGAGTGGGGATTCCTGTACCGGGAATGGCTTCCCTCAGGGAAGGTGAGGGCATAGGGCAGGGGTTCCCAAACTTTTTGACCCGGGGACCAGTAAATCCATTCATGAGCTTTCGGAGGACAGGTAACATTCATTTGCATATCTGCATATTCAATAAGCAAATGATGAATATTCAAATAAGAGGGCTCAGGATCTCATCCCAGTCCTGATCCCTGCCCCAGCTGCTGAATTCCAGGTGGAGGTGCAGGCAGACTCCTCCTGGCAGAGGCTGAGGGACCAGGCTGGCCTCGGCACAGCTCAGCCCCTGGGGAGAGGTGACCAGGAGAGATTCCTGTGGGAGTGGGGATTCCTGTACCGGGAATGGCTTCCCTCAGGGAAGGTGAGGGCATAGGGCAGGGGTTCCCAAACTTTTTGACCCGGGGACCAGTAAATCCATTCATGAGCTTTCGGAGGACAGGTAACATTCATTTGCATATCTGCATATTCAATAAGCAAATGATGAATATTCAAATAAGTTGTTTCTGGTCCTCCCAAAGCCCCCAGTGCCAGAGTTGTCAAAGCTTTTGATACAGTCACCCACAATATTCTTGACAGCAAGTTAAGGGAATATGAATTGGATAAATGGACTGTAAGATGGATAGAAAGCTGGCTAGAACAGGGTTTCCCAAACTTTTTACTTTAGTTGGACCCCGTTTTTTTTCAGTACTGTCTTTTGCAGCCCAAAAATATAAACGCATATAAAAAAAAGAATGAAAAATGAATACATTTTCAGTGTTTCACCCGGCTGCATCCTCCACCCAGCCTGGCCCAGGGCTTGGGGGACCCGGTGCCACATGAGCACTTCAGGAGGTGGAGCAGATTGGGAGTAGGGTATCTGGCTAAGAGGGAGGGTGCAAGGAAGGGTAGGGTTGCCAGGTGTCCGGTTTTGTACTGGTTATTCCGGTATTTGAAGGTTGTGTCTGGGAAAGAAATTATCAGACATATAAAATGCCTGGTATTTTCTAATTAGGTACGTTTTATTATACTTAGGTGTATTAGTCCTTAGTTGCCTCGCTGGTAGATGTGCTCACGCTGTCTGAGTATGTCTGCCTGCCAGTACCAGGCCGCGGCCCATAGTTGGGGAAATGCTGGCATAGGGGGTCCAGCAGCAGCTGGTAGTCCCCCAAAAGTATCACTGCAAGCTTCTGTATCTGGCCCACAATGTCCCATTCGCGGGCCACTGGGGTATCTGGCGCACCCAGCTGAGGCTGCTCCAACACTTCTACTGGCTGGGGATATTTGCCCATCCTGCGATTCCTGGGGAAGGCCCAAGATGGGCGGAAAGCTGCTTGGAGGCCCCTACCCCATATAGAGGAATGGTTCCGGAAGACAGAATTAGAGATAGTGGGGCCTGTCAGCCAGGTGACCCAAATGGGGAACAAATACATCCTGGTAGCTGTGGATAGAGCTACCAACTGCCCTAAGACCATGTCCGATCTGCAGCACCGGGACAACCAGACACAAACAATGAAGCACCCATGGGGACATCACTTGAAGAATCTAGCTATCTACGAAGAACTAATGAGGAATGAAGAGCACTGCGGAGGTCCATCTTGAGCCGGGGACAGTATGAAGGAAATGAAGGGAGGATGGCTGCACATGTGCGGTAGTGCTGGATAGAGCCAGGCACCTCACTTGCCGCACAAGCACGGCCCTAATGCAATGCTAGGAAGAATCCATTCTGCAGCGCTGGGACACACCAACACCCGGAACACCCACAAGGACATCTCTCAAAGAACTTAGGCCTTGTCTACACTGGCATGTTTTGTCACCAAAACCTTTCTTTTGGTGACAAAAACAGTGCAAGTATTTACTCTACAATGTGACATTTGTTGGGAAAAACAACTAGTTTTGGCAACAAAAAACTTCCACACCTGTAAGAGACTTTTGTCTTTTCCACTCCCTTTAATATTGGCAAAGAGCCAGAGTGGACTCTGCAGTTTGTTTTGTAGAGAGAACTGACTTCTGCCAGTATTCTACGATGCCTGCCTCAATGACTGTGCTCAGTGTTTTGTGATCTCTGATGCCCTACAGGCATGTACCCCTCCCCTTTCACAGCTCTGGGAAGTATTTGACAGCTGGAGTGAGATGCTCCCTTTGGGTAACAAACGAAAACCAAATAATTGGAATGCTTCTGTTCTGCTGCTACTGTACGGGGATGTGGGTGGAGAGACTGCTGTGCTGTTTTGACATTCCTTAGCACGGAGAGCTCACAGAGCTATAAGGGAATCCCAAGAAGTGCAGGTATCAGCTCTGCCTTCCCTCAACCCTGCACTGTGTTGCTTTTCTCCGTCGAAAGGCAAGCTAGCAATGTGGCCATGAAATGTCGACAATGAGATGCAGAAAAACTGGTTTGATTGGTTTTCAATTTCAGTGACGTTTGTGTGTCAACAGCACTGTTGTCCCATCACTCCCAGTGTAGACATAGCCTTACTGATAATCTATGAAAGAAGAACTTTCTACCATTTATTCAGAGTTCTTATAAGGTAGCTTCATTGCCACTGTGCACCTGAGAGTGTAGATGCAATGAGACTGAGGAATCAAAAGAGGCCTCAAAAATCAGGCAATGATGAGTTCATATTCTTGCTCTCCACTGATTTGCTATGTGGCTTTGGCCAAGTTTCTAACTGTTCTGTGCCTTTTTTCTCCATCTACAAAACAGAGGTGATAGTACTTCACAGAGTTGTTTTGAACAGTTAGCATAGTAACGCCTGCATAGTACTTTGAAACTAAGTGTTATGATAAAAAAGCCATTATAAAGGTGCCTTTCCCCTAAATCCTTACTGATGTGAGAAGTGCTACTGAATGTAGTCAAATATATGCAACTCATAGGGGGTTAAGAGTTTGCATCCAGCTATAGAAATTAGAGATGTTAAAATGTAATTATGTAATCGTGTAATTGCTGAAAAATTCAACCCCGTGTGCACTGGCTCTCATCTTCCTCCTTGCCCACCCTCGTGCTACTGCCTCTGATAGAGAGGCAGCGGGAATGGAAGGAGAGTTGTGGGTATTACCATGTAAACAGTTATACTTTTACATCTCTAACAGAAATTGGGACACAAAATGAATTATACATAGTCTTTTGTTTCCATTCATTTCACGATATTGCCTGCCACATTTTTGGGGAACAGATGAATTACCAAAAACCTAGATGAATCTCCAGTTAACAGACATTCTATATAACACAAGAAAGAGGACTATTTTGGTGTATACAGACATGCACACAAATATGCAGGAAAGGAATCTCACTAATACTTTTCTATGCTCAAACTCTGCAGATCCTCCCAACATACTGTCTTGAGCTATACAGAGAGGTGTCTGTCAAGAGCCATTTCCAGAATGCCAAAGGTTAGCAGTGCATCAAAAACATCACTGCTGCTCCTTTCAACTTATGCAGTGTTCAGACAAGTTCTCAGTAACTCAAAATAAAGCTTTATAAAACTATAAATGGCTACAGGGAAATTTTCTTTCAGTGTCCCTTGGACTTGCCCTTTTTAAGGAATGAGTTCCCGTGTCCACCTTGGAAAACTCTAAAAGCTGCTTCAACTTCAACAGCAAAACTTTCCATGAATGATTATATACAATATTTTCTCCTTACCCCCATGCAATTTGTGTGTATCTGAATTGTTAAGGAAACATGCCATTGATTCTAGGAGAAAGGTTTACCTTTCTTGGTGCAATTGGCTCCATCTGGATCTTTGACATAACCTTCCTGACACTCCTCACAGTGGAACCCAGCTGTGTTGTGGAGGCAGCCAATGCATTCTCCTGTGTCTGGATTGCACATCTTGGGTGACTGGTCTGGGTCTACATTCCCATTACATTTACATCTAATGCAGATGCTGTCAGAATTGTAATAGCCATTGTCACACTGATTGCAGTCTGGGCCAGTGTATCCAGCTCGGCATCTGTCACAGGTTGGGGTGTGTTGACCAGGTTCTGAAGAAAGAGAGACCATATAAATATAACTGAATGAGTCCTATGGAAGAATGCTCCTTGTGCCACTTGCATGTTTGCTCTGCATCATGCTGATTTACAATCAGATTTTAATATCAATAGGAGATTGCCCATGGAAAAGCTGAACAATCAAGCCTTTAAAAAGCAAGCTCCTTGCTGCAGACTTCTCTCTGTTCAGTCCTTTGTATCTATGCTACCCCATAACCTCCCCACTGCCCACATGCTTAGGTTTCTAAACTTAGGTGCGAAGTCACAGAGCATAGTTAGAATATTTCCAGTCAGCCTCCAATTACTACTACTTCAGGACACCTCTGTCTTGACTGATGGATTGAAGGGAGTATTTGACCCATGCCAGTGAAGTTACGAATGGACAAGAACTTTTCAGATCATTTCAACCCAGGGGACCAGAGGGGAAAACAATCACCAGGTGCTGAAATTTTTATTACAACCTCAAGCTAAGGGAATATCTCCGCACCAGAGACTGACCTAGTGTTCAATTTAGAGGGTCTAGGTAAGACCCATAAATTGAATGAACAGGGCAGCTCCAGCTGGCACCTGTACTCCTTGTAGTTGTGAGGAGTAAGGAAAGCCAATGGGAATGTTTGCTCCTATTTCCCTCATGCTGTGGGGACATCACCAAGCTCAGCATATTTTATGTAGCTGGAGTTGTGTACCTTAAACCAACCTTCCAGGTTTTGTATAGTCCTGGCCTAAGTTTACTCCCCCTCACACCATTTGCCTTAAAACTCAAGTACTCTCAACCAGCTTCATGAAAGCTCACACAAGACCTAGACTTGTTAACATTTATTCTTGCTTTGATAGTAACACAAAGGTATCACACAAATTCTGCCTTCAAATAAGAGTCATCCACCTACAAAATGTTGGATAAAACTACTCTAGTCCATCTCCCAATTAGTGCAAGATTGATCCCAACAGTATGTTTTCTAGCATTTTGTCCAAACTCAAGCAATAGGGCTTCCATCTCTCTTATGTCGGAAGTCTCTTACACTGCCAGAGCATCTTAAGCTCCCCCCTGATTAATTTTCATTCCATCATTCTGTTCCTGCAGAAATAATAAGGCACAGAATTTCATAAGTCTTGCACCCAAGCAAAGAGCATAGAATGTGTGTGGCAGGTCTATTTTCTGTGAGCACTTGACATTTATCCCTGTACAAAGGGTCAGCATATTGCCTGTGCACTCTTTCAGTTCCACTTAACTAGGAATGAAATGTAGGCCTGTTGCTAACTGTAGGAGAAAGAGCCTGAGCATGAGCCTGGTGCTTGAACCAAAGTAAGCAAGAGTTATAGTATGAAAAATAGACAAGCCGTGCCAAAAGTAGATGTTTGCCTGCAAGTCAGTGTCTTTCAGCATTAGACTAGCTAGCACTAATAAAAGCATATAAAATATGCAAATACATTCCACCAAAACAGTACAAGGACATCCAGCTAAATACATTATAAAATAGTTTGAAACAACAAGAGTGAAAGTAGAACAACAGGTAGTAAATGATTTGGAGGAAAGTACAAGGGGAGGTACCAAATGTGTCATTAATGCACAAGATGATATGTAAGGCGTGCATCATAAATTATTTAACTCCGTCTATAAATATTGGGGTACCTCGACTTAACTCTTTGGCCGGCCTGAAGGCAATAGTGAAATCCATACTATTAACTGAGCCAAAATCCATTGTCATGGGTACAAACACATAGGAGCTCGGAGGCCATCTGGCTACCGACAACTATTAATGTACTTCATTTGACAATAAACCTGACTCGGGTGCCTTCTCATCTTATCTGACTCTGTGGTCTTTGGGGGCTCTCGTGAAGTCTGTCACACTAGCTACCTGTCCAGAGCTGGCATAATATACTGAAGGAGCATACAAAAATCGCACATAGCTGAACGTTTATCATCACTAACAGAGCAGAAGACTTGTCAGGACACCACACCAGTAAATCCTGAATTTACTATATTGCTGTCCTGAACTACTACACTAACTTAATGCAGAAGAATGAATTTCATCCACTGCTGATAATGAAGACTAGCTCCATTGTATCTATTTCTTTTTGTCTGCAAAACAATAAACAACACGTAAGCAGGCAGCGAAAACCACTATGAAAACCACAGTAACATGTAACAATTATTGCCTACAGCAAGAGAGATATTCCAGTAGTTTCTATTGCTCTCATAGCCCTGGTCCAACTAGGGAGTTATTTCAAAATAACAAGTAGAGCATCCACACTACCAAGCCCATTATTTCAAAATAACTAGCCCGTTATTTTGAAATAAACATTATTCCTCATGACAAGCAGTTATTTCAAAATAGTTATTTTGAAATAGCAGCGGTATGGCTGCTATTTCAAAATAACTACTCTTCAGAGTCATTATTCCTCATTGCTTCCTGGTGCTCTAAGTCGAGGTAGAGCATCCACATTAAGGGAGGATGCTTCGGACTAATTTCAAGGTTTCACTGTACTGTGGGCACGCTATTTTGAAATAATGATTTTGAGAGTTATTATTTCAAAATACATTATTTCAAAATAATTTCCTAGCACAGAGATGCCTATAAGAAGTATCATAAATGCTCTAAGAATACTGTTAATAAATACTGCACTCCTAAATAGCATGTGTCACTTCAAAAAAAAAAACACACTAGTTCCCATGAAAGAGGGGATTCAAAGGAAAAGCATGAATTGGAACACTAGAATTATCAGCCCTGAGTACAAATTAGCTGTGAAATATATTGAAACAAGTTGCTTTCACTAGCATAAAAAAAGAGCCTTACTTATTTGGCAGCTTCCAGTAGATGCCACTGTTGAACATGGGCAGAGGTGACATTCGAGGCCTGGAAGGATGCTTCTAAAGAAGCCCACCTTACATTTTTCACAGTGGCTTCCTTCTGTATTTCCTTGACAGTTCAAACAGGTGCCTAAAGAGAGAGAGGGAAAAAAAAGCATAAGCAACATACAATTCATTTAGCAACAGCAGCAGCAGAATACACACACACACACACACACGTTGTACAGCTTAAATGTTCATGACTAAATACTGATTTTTGTGATGCCTCTTTTTTGGGCAATAAACCTAAGACACATTCAAAAGATATGATTCGTGGCACCACCATATATTTTCTGACCACTACCTCCTTGTGTCTGGAGCAGATGGCTCCAGCCAAATGCATCGACAAAAATAGCTGAGCCAGGACCATGAGGGAGGATTTGCTGCTTGTTTAGGCCAGCAACAAATTATTAATCTGTAAAAAGACTGAGTGAGCAGAGGAGGATTTGGGGGTTCCTGAGCCAAAGTCCCTTCTCTGGGATACTCCTAAAAAGCAAAACAGTAAAGCAAACTGTTGCTTCTTACTAGGGGCTGTACCCTTGTGGCACGATCTAGCCCTCTGTCAACTTTAATTTGATGTTTTACAAATATAGGGAGGAAATGCTGCTAGATATACAAATGCAGCCCCTTTTGAAAGCTCATCCATCAATATAGTACATAAACAATGTAGGATCATCTGCTTCAACGAGCATCTTACTAAGGAGTGAGGTGATGTGGGGAGCTTATTTGTTTAAATTCCAAGTCCAAAACTCTGAAAGGTAAAAGCAGCCCCACAATAAACCAGGGTGCTGCAGAGCAGCATAGTAACAGTATAAGCACAGCACAGGTACTTGCTGAGTTAAACTGTCAGTGTTTTAGACGGGACAAAATATTAGTATCAAATATCAATAGCAACATTACTCTTAGTCTTTCTTTGCTGGTGCAGCAATGACTCTGAAGTCTCCATCTAAATATAATCTGTCCTTGTATTTGATCCTCCACTTAATGGGAGAATGCATAACTGGCTGGATATATTGCTTTTTGGAACCAGCTGATTCACACATATGGCAGAGACTAGCCTTGCCTCTTGTGACTAAAGATGCTTGCAGTGTTCCATAAATCAATCTTGCAGTTGATATTTGATCCTTATTCAGTGGTATGTATGACAAGAGCTGGTGGCTTCTGTGGGATACATGTCCACATGATGAAACCCCCAATCCCAACTGTAATTTCTATTGGCAACCTCACCATGGAGACCAAGGGTTGAATGAATCAAGGAGAAAGTCAGCTATTAGAAATGGTCTCGCATGGTCAGCTTTATGGCACTGGAGCTGGACTTGGCTCTCAGTTTTCCTGCAGTAAATCTGGAATAACTTCACACATTTTATGTGCAGACCTGTCCATTTCAAGACCACGTCCTTTTCCATCAGCAGGATTTGCAAGCATCTACCTCTGTAATAATGCAACTGGCTGGGTTGCCAATGGACCAATTGGTAAACAAACCATGCTAAATATTTCGGAGTGGGGATCACTTCACAACGAAAACCATTAATATTTCAGAACACTTCCATTCTGATTGCACCTTGCAAACATTAACTAAGCCTTGTGACTCCTCAGGTAGATAGGTGTTGTCACACTTACTTTAAAAGATGAATACAGAGAGGTCAAGTGACTTATACAAGGCAATATGTGCAAAAATAAAAACCCAGGATTCTTAACTTCCAGTTCGCTTGCTTAACTACTTTCTCTTTAACACACTAAACCTAATGAACCTGTATCCATACTGTGAGAAAATATCTTTTATATGAAGTTCTGCCACATTACCAACTGGGGTTTCTCAAAACAATGTAGGTCTTCAGTTAGCCATGAGATGGAGCCCACAACTCAGTACTAATGCAACAGAAACATTGACAAGTAATACACGATTTTATATAAACCTGCAGAGGTCAAACAAAGTACACTCTCTAGTTCATATCAAGAACTATGTACATACACTGTGGCTGTGTCTACACTGGGCCACTTATTCCAGAAAATCAGCCGCTTTTCCGGAATAAGCTGCAAGCTGTCTACACTGGCCCTTGAATTTCCGGAAAAGCAACGATGCTCTACTGTACAAAATCAGCCGCTATTCCGGAAAAACTATTCTGCTCCCGCTCGGGCATAAGTCCTTATTCCGGAAAGCCCAATAGTCTTTTCCGGAAAAAAGCCCTGATTGCAAAAATGGTGATCGGGGCTCTTTTCCGGAAAAGCGCGTCTACATTGGCCACAGACGCTTTTCTGGAAAAAGGGCTTTTCTGGAAAAGCAGCCTGCCAACGTAGACGTTCCTTTTCCGGAAAAACTGAAAACGGAATAGTATTCCGTTTTAAGCATTTCCGGAAATTCATGCCAGTGTAGACACAGCCAGAGTGTTAGAAATCAGATCTAATTTACTATCTGCTTTTCAGCTTCAACAACAACAAAAGCAAAGGCAAGAGAAGAAAGAATAAGAATTTTCTACCATTCCATGATAGATCAAACTAACACCACCATGGTCAGACTTTGATTCTGCAAACTATAAAGATGGATTTTTGGCACTCATGGCAAAGAGTTCTGCCTTCGTAGACTGACTGCAGAATCAAGGGCAGAAACTGGCATGTAATTTCATATCAAAATAACTAAAACACACACATTAAGACACTGACTCAGCAAAGCACTTAAGCGCACCTTAACTTTAAAACATGTTCTTATGTCTCAAATGAAGTGGGATATAATCACATATTTAAAGCTAAGAATATGAGAAAGTGCCTTGCCGAATTAGGGCCACACAGGACAAAGTTTGAATATCTGCTAGATATCCCATTATATTTGTTCTTTAGACAGAAGTGGTGGTGTTACTGGCTTACAGTTAATTCTGTGATTCAATACTGACTGTGTCTTTGTTAGAAATGCACAGACAATATAGTACATAAACAATGTAGTAAATAAAGAGAAAATAATTACAAAATATAATTAATTTGATTAACTGTTTCTTTCTGTTGACAAGCCATTTGCAAACAGGTTGCAAACTTTTTGAATTCACTGACTTTCTAACTCACTAGAAAAAATGTTGGTGAGTTTTATTTTACTCTGTAGCTCCTCACTGTAAATTAAATTTCAAAATTGAAGCTCTGTTGCTGAGCTGCAACTGGTTGTGTAAGTCACATGATATTGACTTTGTTTCAGTTTTTGGTGTGTGCAGGTAGTCAGGAAGGGTCAGGATTTACTGCTAAGGAGTCCTTATCTGTTGATGATGATAACCAGAAGGCTGCTTGAATGCATGCTCAATGATGTATATTGTGCCAACTTGTGCACTCAGGGTATATCTACACAGTAAAGTTATTTCGAAATAACTTTACCAGCATCTACACAGCCAAACCGCTATTTTGAAATTAATTCGAAATAGCCGAGGGCTTATTTCGAAATTGGTAAACCTCATTCCACGAGGAATAGCGCCAATTTCAAAATTGCTATTTCGAAATACAGCCTGTCTCTGACTTACGAACCGGTTACGGACCAAGCAATTGGTTGTAATTTGGTTTGTTTTTAAGTCGGTCCCCATTGAGTTACATGCGACCGCGCTGTTCGTAAGCGCGGATCGTGTTTGTAACTCAGGGTCCGCCATTTACAACACTTTTGGTCGTAACTGTGAACGGTCGTAAGTCGACCGTTTGCAACTTGGGCACCGGCTGTAAGTGCTGTGTAGATGCTTATTTCAAAATAGGGGGCCCCCAGCCCTTCCCAGGGTGCCCTGGTGGCAACTCTGGGCACAACCAAGAAAACTCCTCTCCCTCCCTCCCCAGTGCCCTTAAAGAGGTAGACTCTGGCCACAGTGCCTGTACCAGCTCCAAGCCTGCCAGCTCAGAGCCAGCAGTCACTGCACCTGCATGAGCCAGGCAGCCAGTGCCAGCCAGCCCTCCACCACTCCCCAGGACCAGTCTGCCAGCTCCCAGGAGCCTGCAAGGGGCTGGACAAGGCGGGTGCCTGCCTGGTCCAGTGTGGAGATCAGGGACCAAATTCAGGTTTGGGGGGATGCTTCCAACGTCCATGATCTCTGCACTAAATGGAGGAACGCAACCGTCTACAGGCGGATAGCTGCCAGCCTGGCCACCAAAGGCCACATGAGAAGTCAGGAACAGGTTCATATGAAAATAAAGGAGCTGCGGCAAGCGTATGCCAGGGCCACAGGAGGCAGCTCCCAACCAGGGGCATACCCACACCCCTCCCACTATTTTGATACCATGGACCGCATCCTGGGGTCTATTTAGTCTGTAGGACGGTCTGTGCCCTTCAAGTGGTCATCGACCCTGGGGCAGAGCTTGCTGCCTCCTGCTGCTCCAGCCCCTGTTGCCTCCCCAGCTACAGCTCTTTCTTCCTCCCCACACTCCCAGGGATGCCGAGGTCCCCGCACCCACAGTGCTGGGAGACAGTTGGACCAGTGAGACCCCCAACCCTGAGCTTTTCCTTCCACTTCCTCCCCTTGTCTCCCACTGCCAGCTCCCTCCTCCCGCTGCCAGCTCCCTCCTCCCAGGTTTCCCCCTCTCCTCTCCCACCAGCCCTCCTCCTTTCCCCAGTCTTACCTCAGTTTCATTCCCCCACCCCAGTTTTGTTCAATAAAGAGGCTTTGTTGTAATGAACACACGTGTCTTTTATCGTACAGCAGGAAGGGGGGTTAGGGAGGGGTAAGTGGAAGGACGTGAGGAAGGAATGAGGCACAAACCCCCAGTGAGGCACACCAGGGAGGCTGCTACTGCCTGCAGAATGTGCTGCCAGGCTCGCAGGAACACGTCCAGGAGAAGCACCAGAGTGCCTAGGGGCAGCTCCGGCTCCATGCTGCAGAGTGCTGTGGTGTCCTAAGTGAGGGCAACCAGAGCACACAGAGAAAAAAATGCTTTGCTGTCCCTTAGCGAGGAAGGCAAGAAAGCAGGGAAACCTTAGAACCAGCTGTCCGGGGGGGGGGGGTCCCTTTAAGCACAGGTCTCAGATAGTCTCAGGCAGCAGCCACACAAGGTAACTCCTGACCTGATCCCTGCCAGAACCGGTTCTGGCCAGCCTTCAATGCGATTCAGCGTCCTATCAGTGTGGACGCGCTATTTCGAAATAGCAAAACACTATTGGGGGGGTCCCTTTAAGCACAGGTTTCAGATAGCCTCAGGCAGCAGCCACACAAGGTAACTCCCAACCTGATGCCCTGACAGAACTGGTTCCAGCCAGCCTTAAATGCAATTCAGCATCCTATCAGTGTGGACGCGCTAATAGCAAAACACTATTTCAAAATGCATTTTGTGTCTAGACACGTTACCTCGAAATACGATATTTCGAAATAATTATTTCAAAATAAGATATTTCGAAATAACGCTGTAGTGTAGACATACCCTCAGTCTCCACAGCAGACCCTGAGAGGGGCCCCCAAAGACCACAAATCAGATAAGGATTGAAGGTGCCCAGCTAGGTTTATTGTTAAGCGAAGTACAGTAATAGTTGTCAGTGGACTCTACTGAACCACTATGCATATGCAATTCATAACAATGGAATGACTCAATCAATGGAAAATTTCCATTGCTCCGTAGGTCATCCAAAACCGTCCCCCCAAGATACCACTTTGTATACAGGTACTAACAAATTACACATCATTGTTGACGTGTCAGGTTACCACCTTCGGACGTCAGGCTAACACTTCTTAAATACCACCCATCACCTGGTACCCTGTCGTTTGATTAGACAGCATGATTGATAGAGATGATCATTTTAGACCCTTTCTCGCACCTGGGTCTGTAGCTGTGCAGAGTGTGTACCAAGGTCTTTTTTAATGAGCTGGTGATACCATGTGCTTTCAACTTATGACCAGTACCCATTACTGTCCTATAACTGGGCTCATTGCCAATTAGTGTTTTGCTTTCTGTTCGTGCCTGTTCTGTGAGCAGGGGCCTGTCTCTTGCTCACAGCTTAGCTTTGCTTTACATTAGCCATGTTTTGTCTGTTAGCTAAGCCTCAGACCAGGCCTGTGCTACATGGGCTTATGTTTTAGACCTTCATATTATTACAGTGTGAAGGGACACAAAGACAATTTACTTTTTTTGGCACAGAAAACATATGTAAATTAGGGATGTTAAATTGCATTTAATCAGCTAATCGAGTAGTCTATGAAATTTCCATTGACTATTCAATTAGTTGGTAATGCAGGGAAACTGCAGAGCTGCAGCAGGGTTAGGATCTGGCCCTGCAGTGGCTCTGCCTTTTAAATGTATTAAGAGCATCTTTTAAACCAGCTCCCCGCCAGCACCAGCGGGGAGGGGGGGGAGTGGGAAAGTGACTAGTCAAGTGACTACTCGACTACCCAATGAGCATGTGCTCATTGAGTAATCAATTAGCTGCTTCCATCCCTAGTGTAAATCGATCACAACGTTTAAGAAAAGCCGACACATCATGGATGTAAGGCAAATTCATTACAAAACAAACAAGCAAATATGAATAACCTGTTTCTATAGAGCTCAGAATATTATTGGTGACAATACCAGTTGCATTCAGCCAACACCTGAACAATACATGCTTGTGGTAAATAAAAGAAAGAACAAAAAGTAAGCTCTTAAGGTTAAGCATCATCTTTTGGTTATGCTTTGTACAGGGAGCCCCTAGGGTTCCAACTAAGAATCTAGACGTCATAATAAAGGCTCAGTGTTGCTGTCAAAGTGAATGTCAAAGCCCTCACCAAATTCCATGGGAAGCAGATCAGATCCAAAACAACAAGAATTTGTCATGCAAGTAGATGATTTGACGCCCTATGAACAAATACAATTAAATGAAAAATACAAAGGGGTGAGATTGAAGAGATTAGTCTTTTGAGGGCTGTAATACTTTCATCTGATTCTAGTTGTGGGCTTGGTGCATAGATGGCTAGGGGTGGTATTTAGTGGCCTGTGATACATAGGTCAGATTAGATGGTATGGTGGTCATTTCTGTCTTTCAACTCTGTGAAACTAAATATAGCAGAAATCAGGAAACAGTTGACTACATCTACACAGGAAGCAGAAACTCACAGCAGCAAATTTCACAACCCAAGTGTTATGGCTCAATTCCCCAACCTGGCACTTCGAGTGTAGATATGGAGGCTGGCTAGCAGAATAAACTCTGTAAGAACCGGGATCTGTAATTCCCAGAGAAAAACCTCCCCGAGACCCAAAAAAGAAAGAGGATTGGTCATTGCCACCACCAAGTGTAAATAAAAATATAAAATAAACCCTTTTCCAGGGAAGAGATCACTTGGAATCCCCTTGCTGAGGCAAAGCTCTCCCCGCTGCCCCAACTTCCATTTTGCTTGGAGTTGAGAAAACAAACAGAAATAACCCGCAGACAACAATGGAGCTCTGCTCCTCCTGAGTAATTTAGGCACATAGGTTTAAGGACACAAAAGTCAGCCAATACCAGTTAACCAAAACAAAAAGAAAAAACCTTTATTATTAGAACAAGACTACTGTTGCATACAGAGTAAATGACTGGGTGTTAAAAGCCATGAAGTGAAAGAAACTCAGAGAGACTCCTTGGCCTGTAATTCTCAGTTACAAAATAACCAGCTCAGACATGATTTCCAAACCCACAAACAAGGAAAACAAGACAACCTGATAGACTACCTAAACTTTTCCCTACTTATACATTTCAATGAATTCAAGGAGTCTGTTCCTGGGAGACTCCATCTGTCCTGCTACCTGAGGGAAAAAATGCTCTCCCCAAAACAAAGGAAGAGAAAAAAAACTCTCTAGATTTGAAATTCTTTATCTCCATTTCATTGGCTGAATGCCCAAAGCCCCCTCCCTCAGGTACATCTCCAGAGTTGCTTAACCCTTTCCCTCACTCTCCAGGTAAGTTAGACTCTCCTTTGCAGCTCCTATTCATGACACCAAGTCTATAAATTCAGGCCAGAGAGCTAAAAATAGCCATATAGACATTCCCGCTTAGGCTGAAGCCTGAGCTCTGAAACTTAGGCAGGAACCCAAATGTCTACATAGCTATTTTAGCTCCATGGAATCAAGCCATACAAGCCTGACTCTGTAGACTCAGTGCTGTAGATTTCTGCTTACTGTGTAGATGTATTCTAGATGGTAAGGTCCCAAACCACTACTCACTCACCATTGCAACCTTGCTGATGTCAATAGAGCCCCATCAAGGTTACAGAACTTGGCTCTAAGCAATCAGAAATATTATACCTGTTAAGATATCACAGCTGTTGGAATAGTTATTGCACTGACATGGTTCACAGCTGGTTTGGTTGACCCAGTAGTATCCATCACGGCATTGGTCACACTTGAAGCCAGTTATCCCAACTTTACACTGGCATTTTCCGAAGCTGCAAAGGAAAAAAAAAAAAGACATTTGAATTTGCTGCTTGATGACTTGGTAACTTCCGTTCTCAGTCTCATAGGTGCAATGTTCTCCTTCCCCAAGGGGGGGATCTGTTCCTCCTAATATCACACACACACACAGCAGCAAATGTTTACCAGAAAGTTAATTGCTGCAATATAAAACACAAAAAAGAGTACTACTGGAGTATAAAGCACCTGTGCAACCTCACTGAGTTCATTAGATTGTGTAGGTGTAACTGTACACAGAATTTGACCCTCTATTAACTTTCACTTCACACTTTATCACCCTTACCCTCTGATAATGATCCCTTTCTGAGCACAGCAACTCAGTGACTCACCCCTCCCTTTGAAAGAGCTGTCTCATTGACTTACACATCTCTAGATATTGATTAGCAATGGTGACCCTTGTCATGGACTGTGGTTCTTGATGACTGTCTCCCTCTGTGATTGGAAAGCACCTAATGCTTTTTGGGCACTAATGTGATGTAAGCAGTGGTTTTTTTTTTTTTTGATGGTACTGCCCAGTACGTAGTACCGGCACCCCCAGACACTGTACCAGCACCTTCAGTCAGAGCTCAACAACTTTTCCCCTGGAGTATTGGCACTTTTTTTTTTAAACAAAAAAAGCACTGGATGTAAGCAACAAATGAAATAAGATGACAACAGTTTAGAGTTTGAGTTTGGTTCTGATAAGTAAACCCCTAAAATCAGATGCATAATCAAAGCTTCTCCAAACCACTTTGATCAAAATGTGGTGTGATCACAGATATTTTAATATTTGAAGTTCTGATCAAGGCTAGAAACTAAAAATGAAGAAAATTCCTCCATCATATCTGGATATCCTAATATTTCAGACCTTTTAAAAAGGTTCTCCTTGAGAAACAGGTAATGTTATTTCCTCTGGACCAACCTATCCATCTAAAGTAATGATAGCATGGTCCCATGGGCAGGAATTGGACTGGGGACTCCATTCCCACTTCAGCTTCTATAGGCCTGCTCCAAAGCCAACAGAAGGTAATGAGAGTCTTTTCAGTCACCTCAACAGGGGTTGGAGTAATGAGCCTTAATACAGTAACTTTCACCTGAAAATCATTAAGCCCTTTACAACTGTGAGTAAAAAATATTTCCATTTTACAGATGGAAAAGTTCAGAGATGCAAAGATGACAGAGCCAGTCAATGGTATTTCAGAACAGCTATAGTTCCCCCTACAAATCAGAGACAATATCACCATCTTATCTCATGGATGGGGGGGAAGGAAAGAAGTTCTAAGAATTAATGTAAAACATTGAGATTTCCCATCTGGAAAGAGCTACTGATGGGCAAAATGTACATGTCCATGTGTAACATACACTCCCACCTTTTATTTGCGATCTCAGCATTTGCTGTGCCATCCTCAACAAACATCAATTATTTTGTACAGTTCTTAAAGGGGAAGAAGAGACAACTAACTGTGTTTATGAAAAGCTGATTAACACTAACAGAGGCTGATACACAGAATAGCTGGTGTACTGTTTATATTTTGTTTTTAAATAAATGCTGTAGATTAATTAAATGCTGTTTTTGGACAGCATCATTTTTAAAAATTAATATATTTTAGCATTCTCTTGTCAGTTCACTTGGCAAAAACAGTAAATACCCAAAGTGCCATGCACACCCACACAGAAGGAAAACCCACAAATCTAGCCCAAGAGGCTAAACAAAGCAACATTTTCAAAATATGAATTTCAGACATGCTTAATGGACTGATTACATAAAAGAGTAAGAAACTTGTTTCATTAGCCTCCACATCATATCAGGAACTGCAGCCAGCGGAGGCAAAATTTAAATTGATGTGGATAGGCAATTCAGTCCCAAAACAATAAAAAAAAAAAAAAAATTCACAAAACCTAAAGTTAACTGAAATCTTATCTTGATATTTAATCCCAAAGCAAATGGAAACCATTCTTCATTTGCATTTGCACATTTCTCCTGCAGCATTTGCAAAATGGTGCTGCTGTGAAATAGAGTGAACAGCCCTGTAGAAAACAAGACTTATTAGACGAGCCAGAAAGTGAAACCAACTGGATCTGTTGTTCTAAAGACTACCAGGACTCCCTCTCTCATGTAGCTGGAACCTCATCCTATCTACTAGTATGGACAAGGGTAAAATGGGCGTGACACCCAAGTTGAGAGCCCATTAAATTGTCTAGCTCAGGGGTGGGCAAAATCTTCTTAGCAGGCTGGATCCAGCCCGCCTAGGGCTTTGATCTGCCCTGCAAGGCAGTTCCATGCCCCACCCCCTAACAGGCGGGCCCAACCTGTAGCACACATGCCGCAGGGGAAGGAGCTCAGCCCCACTCCTCCTCCCCCCGTGCAGCCGCTGGAGAGATAGCAGCGCTGGGGATGAGGCTCCTTAGCAGCACCTCAGCCAGCTGGTCCAGGGCCAGCCGTGGCTATGCAGTCCGGGCCTGGCCCTGGAAGCACCACTACCATGGCCACAAGCTGGCCCCAAAGGCGCCATGGTCCAAGGCTGGCCCCAGATGCTGAAGGTGCCACTGCTACAGCCATGCAAACTGGGGCTGGCCCCAGAAACACTGCGGCCAGGAGGCTCCAGGCCACCCCAGAGACCAGACATGCTGCAGCCTGGAGCCAGCCCCAGAAATGCTGCTGCCATGGCCACGCAGCCTCGGGCTAGCACCTCTGGGGCTGTCCCCAGGCAACGTGGCCATGGCAGTGGTGCGCCAGCAGCGCCTCCAGCCTCTGGGGCCAGCCCTCGTCTGGGGCGCCTCCAGAGACAGGCTGTGGCCACAGCAGTGGTGCCTCCAGGCCTGACTTGTAGCTACGTGGCTGCAGCAGCGGAACCTCCCTCTGGGGCGGCCGGGACAGCGAGGCTGCAGCCATTACTTCAAGGAGCACAAAACCAGGTAAGGTTCCCCCTCATGCTCAGACCCCCTCCCCAATCTCCTCACTTTCCTCCCCCTCAAGGCCTGGCACCCCTAGATTGCTCCGATATTCTCCCTTGTTCTTGCACCCTCTCTCCTGGTCACACACTGCACCCTCTATTCCTGCTCCCTCGACCTAGCCAGACACCCTACTCCCAGCTTGTTTCTGCACCCCACTGCCCTCCCACATCCTGCACCCCATTCCTACCTTACTTGCTGGCACACCTATCTGGTGCACTGTACCCCTCACTTTTGTCCCTACCCCAGAATCTAAGGAGGTCCATAACTTTTCTCCACTAACTCCAGAACCCCAGAAAAGTAAATCTGGTCTATGGGAAACCCTGAATCTCAGTTCCCCCCTTTCTTTCCCCTCACTCTATGAGTCTGGGACACCAGAGCAGTGAGGTGTCTCAGTTAAGGCCACACCAGTGAGCATTGGGGATTATTGGAATATTTTTGCTTCTCACTCGTGTGGTCTCCAACTGATTTTTCTGTGAGTCAGTGGCTCCTGACCAAAAAAAGTTTCCCCCTCTGCCATAAATAAAGAAAACATTGAAACCTTTTGTGGTGGACCAAAAAAGTCACAGAATCATAGAACCATAAAAATGGAAGAGACCTCAGGAGGCCATCAAGTCCAGCCCCCTACCCAAGGCATGACCAATCCCAATTACATCAACCCAGCCAGGGCTTTGTCAAGCCAAGACTTAAACACTTCTAGGGATGTAGACTCCACTACTTCCCTAGGTAATCCATTCCAGTACTTCACCACCCTCCTAGTGAAATAGAAAAAAACTAATATCCAACCTGGACCTCTCCTACCGCATCTTGAGATCATTGTTCCTTGTTCTGCCATCCATCACTACGGTCATCTGCAAACTTGCTGAGTGTGCAATCCATCCCCTCATCCAGGTAATTAATAAAGATGCTGAACAAAACCAGTCCCAGAACTGAACTTTTGGGCACTCTGCTAAAAACCAACCGCCATCCTGACATCACTACCCACTGGTCCCGACCTTCCAGCCAGCTTTCTATCCACCTTACCATCCATGTATCCAATCCACATTCCCTTATCTTGCTGGCAAGAATATTGTGCAAGACCGTATCAAAAGCCTTGCTCAAGTCAAGGTATATCACATCCACTGACTTTCCCATATTCACAGAGCCAGTTACCTCATCATAGAAGCTAAGCAGATTGGTCAGGCACGACTTCCCTTCGTGAATCCATGCTGACTATTCCTGATCACCTTCCCCACTTCCAAGTGCTTCAAAATGGATTCCTTGAGGATCTCCTCCATGATTTTTCTAGGGACTGAGGTAAGACTGACCAGCCAATAGTTCCCTGGATCATCCTTCTTCCCTTTCTTAAAGATGGGCACTACATTTGCCTTTTTCCAATCATCCGGGATCTCTCCCGATCTCCCGACTTTTCAAAGATAATGGCCAAAGGGTCCTCAATGACATTTGCCAACTCCCTCAGTACCCTCGGATGTATTAAGTCCAGACCCATGGATTAATGTATGTTTAGCTTTTTTTAAATAGTTCCTAACCTGTTCTTTCCCCATCTGCGGCTGTCCACCTTCGTCCCATATTGCGTCACTTAGCGCATTACTCTGGGAGCTGACCTTGTCCGTGAAGACAGAGGCAAAGAAAGCATTGAGTACTTCAACTTTCCCCACATCATCTGTCACTAGGTTACCGCCCTCATCCAGTTGGGGTCCCACACCCTCTCTGATCACCTTCTTTTTGCTAACATGCCTGCAGAAACCTTTCTTGTTATCCTTCACATTCCTTTCAAGTCGCAATTCCAATTGCACTTTCGCCTTCCTGATAACTCCCCTGCATTCTTGAGCTATACATTTATACCCCTCCCTAGTCATCTGTACAAGTTTCCACTTCTTGTAATCTTCCTTTTTGTGTTTAAGCTCACCAAGGATTTCCCCGGTAAGCCAATCTGGTCTTCTACCATATTTGCTTCTCTTGCTACACATTGGAATTGTTTCTTTCTGTGCCTTCAATAAGGCTTCTTTAAAATACTGCCAGCTCTCCTGGGCTCCTTTCAAAT